GCAGTGAGACCCTGAACACCTTGTAGACCCTTCCCTAAAATACAAAATAAATAAATAAAACGTGTATAAATTACTTGTTTTGAGAACTAAAGTAAATCAGGAAATCAATAGGGGAATTTAAAAACAATATACAAATGTAAAATTGGCCCCCCAAAACAAGCATCCTATCTAGTTTCTCAGGTTTATTTTTCTTAAGTTACTGTTAATATTGCCCTGTCTTACCTTTATACTTTGTAACTATTCTATATTGGCTGTTTACCCTATGAAATGCAAACCTATAACTGTCAAACACTTCCGTCAGGTTTGTTGTAGGTCTTTTCTGGCCAAATCCATATTTTCCCCACTTTTAAGCAACAAACTGGTTGCCCATCTAGCCCTGTAACGTCGTCCATTTCTAAATTCCTTCAGTTAATCCTCATTTGATCCTAAACCCTTTAACTGTTCTCGACAAGTGACAATCCATAAGCCACATCAAACAGGCTTCAGCCTGCTTTTCTAGGACAAGTTCCAACCCCCCTCCTCGGCTAAAAAGGGTTTTGCCCCTATATCTGATCTTTCCTAAATTCCCACACTGCTATTCCTGTGTCTAGTTCATCCTTCTCACTCAGTTCTCTGGTATATTCAACATTATTTATTCTAAGTAATCATAAAATCCAAATTTATGTTGCTATTCAAGCTTGGGGCAATGAGCAAATCTTTTACTTTTGTTTTTGTATAATAACTCCACTTTGATTTCGCACCAAAATGGCTCTGCGAAGTTAACTAACAGCCCACCCCCCATCTCAACCCTCCCCACACACACACACTGTCCTTGCCCTTTATTTAGGTTCCCTTGGTGGAGACTTCTGCTTTTTTCTCATCTCCCTGCTCCCTCCCACTGCAAACCCGGAGTCCCGAGAGGAGAACTGGGCATGCTCAGTAGTCACAGCTGATTCCGGGATGCAAACTGGAATCTTTTTGCAGCATTTGAGCCCAGCAGGTGAAATAAGGGTCCGAAAATACACTGGCCAAGAATTTGCTCACTTCTCCTATGGTATTATTTAATTTACAGGTGTTTTTAAAGCTTAGGAATGGAAACGGAAACGCACAGTTTACAGCTAGTCCCTAGTCTGCAAGGTGGGTCACTAACCTGAATAACAGAGCTGAGAAACAGCCCCTCCTCCTGGTTTGGAGCTGGGAGGGGATTTCTGCTGTTCTAGGCTATGACAGCGTTGATAGACGACAGAAAGGTAGCATTTGGTATCTCTGCTGCATCAAGAAAATACTGGGATTTTTCCCCCCACCCTTTGAAGACAGCAACATTAACTGCTCAAGACTAAGAAAAAGATGTTGTCTGAAGATCTCCAAAGTCTATGAACCAGACAGAGAGATTGTAGAGAGGATAAGAGGCAAATTAATCCGAGGGAGGTAGCTTAAGGACCCAGAGATAAACAGATGAGCTATTTAAAAGGACAGCCCAGGAACCTCTGAGATACTCAAATCTGAATCGTATGTCCGCCCCCAAAAATGTGTACCTTCTTTGTATGTGAACCATGACACATTTCCTTCAGAGAGAAAGAGACTGGCAGGAGAGAGAGAGAGAGAGAGAGAGAGAGAGAGAGAGAGAGAGAGAGAGAGAGAGAGAGATAAAATCCTTTCCCCTGGTTTCTGTGGAAGCTAAATCTCTAGAGATGCAACAGCAGTAGATTCCCTCACCTCACTGCCTGAGGATGAGGCATGAGGAGGAAATTTATTAGGGATTAAATAGGATAAAAGAAGCCTTCTTTGCACGGACTTGAGCCATCACTGCACAACCTTAGAAACAGAAGGACAGGCAGGAACAAACAAGGAGCAAGATGCACAATTGCCCCTGTTGTTAAAAGCTAGCCATTTCTTCAAACAGCAACAAACGAGACATTTTATCACCATAGTGCATCCATATTGATAAAAAAGAGAAAAAATCATGTGCTCTGGTTTATGCATTTCAGTCTCCCAAGGTGGGGAGAGATCCCCGGTCGCATGTCTTTGGAGCTGTCCATCGCCCCCAAAGGACACTATTTGTACCGAGCTAACAGATCACTTGCCTGACAGGTTTTGCAGTAAAGCAGTTAATCTATTTGACAGCAGGTTGTCTCTTACCGTGGGAAGCAGCGGCTCCATTTGTGCTCCCTGGTCTTTAATCTCCATGTTTTGTAATGCCTCTGGAATAAGCACCTTGCTCTGCAGTGCCTTCAGTGTCTTACACTCGGCCGGCACTCGCTCTGCTTAGTATTCGGATCAGGTAGCTCTGAAGCAGGAGGCAACTGCACACTCCAACTCACCAGAGTCACATGGCTCCTACTCACTTGGGCTGCTGGCCAGGTTTTGCACTGAATGCCTTGGATCCCTGGGCCGGTATGAGATCCCCCCAAGCCCTGTATCACTGCCCACACCTGGCTACTCATGTAAAATACAGCCTGCAATGCTCAAGTCCAATGGGCATTAAGAATTTCACATAGGTACTAACTTCTCATACAAATGAATTCAAACTAGTTTCCAACCATCTCAGTCTGATTTTGACACTTTAAGGCAACTGACTTTATTTCCAGAATCCTAAGGAGAATTAGTTCAAACAAGATGATGTTAATTAGAAGATTTCCAAAGCATTCTGCTCTGAGTACTCAAGTTCCTTTTAAATAGATAAAACAATCTCCAAACTGAATTTATCTCAATGAAACAACAAAAAATCAAACATTTGTTATTACTGACTCAATAATAAGTGGACAGATATTTTCAATCTTAATTTAACTTGTGAGAAACTTAGTCATATATTATTAAATATAAAATATGTTTCTATGATTTCCCAACAAAAATGATATAGAAAGTATTTTGTAGTAGCAATAATCAAGATTTGAAGTACACTGAAAACACAATGAGGGGCTGGTGAGATAGTTCAGTGGTCTAAAGTGCCTGCTTAAGCAAGCTTAGGCAGGTGCAGGGGACCACAATTTTATCCCCAGAACCACAGGCCATGCCAGCCGCACCCTCAGGGTGGACTAAGCCAGCCAAAATAATAATAATAATAATAATAATAATAATAATAATAATAATAATAAATAACACAATGAATCTGACAAGGGTAACACTACAATATACACCTTTGCCTTAAAATTCTCACATAAGAGTAGCAGGAGATTATCTGAATAACCCATAGAAGAAAGGAAGTCAGAAAAACTTTCATGGAGAGAGAAGTGTCTAATGACAGTCACTATGTAACTGCACATATTCCATAAAATTAATCATGGATCTCGAGCATTGTAAGTAATGAAACCCATACATTGTTGGAACTCAGACTAAGGGTATGGAGATTGCACATACATTGTTGGAACTCAGACTAAGGGTATGGAGATTGCACATGAAAAGGAGTAAGACTTCTCAGGGTTAAGAGAAGATGACCAAAAATTATTGTTAGTTTATTCTAAATTTTAAAATTCACCAGATTTTATAATCTTTAATCAAGAGAATAAATACATAATTCTTAGCAATATACCAAAGTTTTCCATAATGCCTGCTGCAGGTAGAATTAGTTAACTGTTTCAGTCTCAACATGGTTTTTACAGAGCAACCAACTCCCCTTCTGTCCCTCTCAGATAGAAGCTTTCTTTCCTTCAATAAGTATATTCTGCTCTTTGCCAGGCATGGTAGTGCATGTCTGTAGTCCCAGCACTCAGGAGGCTGAGGTAGAAGGGTCATTATGAATTCGAGACCAGCTTGGCTACAAAGTGAGCTCAAGGCCAGCCTCAACTGCATAGCAAGACCCTGTCTCAAAAAGACTATAGAGACTATATATATATAT